CTTCCTTCCTTCCTTCCTTCCTTCCTTCCTTCCTTCCTTCCTTCCTTTCTTCCTTGTGTCCTTCTTTCCATCCTTCCTTCCTATCTTCTGTCCTTCCTTCCCTAACCCCAGCCCTCTCTGAAACACCCATGAAGACCTCTGATGATCTTCAGTCATTAAATACACTGTCGTCTCAGCTTTCATCCAAACTCACACCAAACAACCTCGGACCCCACTGGTCCGAGGCTTGCACTGAGGTCCCACAGCCAGACTGCCTCAGACTGAATCCCAACAGCATGGGGTTTTTTGTTTGTTTTGTTTCTGGTTTTGGTTCTTTTGTTTTGTTTTTTCGCTGTGTGACCATGGGCCAGTTATCCTGCCTCTCCTATTTTTGTTTGCTTCTCCACAAAACAGGGATAATAACACCACTTACCTCACAGAGGAGGGAGTGGAATTATGCGCGTAAACACCTCAGACCATGCCTGGAAGGAAAGCCGTCCAGGTTAACTATTAGCTTCATATGAAGTCTTCCTGCTTTCCTGGGCTTTGGCTCAAACCCTTTCTCCAAATAACCATCTTGTTTAGAGCTGGGCCTGTGCACTTGACTCTCCCTCTGCCCAGAGGTTCCAAGTAATGAATCTTGGCTCAAATAGGCTTTAGCAGCATCTGTCCATGTTTGGAACATGGATGAAATTTCTCTCTTATTCCTCTGGGGCTCCAGATCCTGATCTAGAAGGTGGGAGCAACCCTCGGGGTACCAGGAGGGTCTTCATAGCTCCCAGGAGTGCAAATCTAAGAGATGAGACTTATCTTCTTCCTGGAAGAGTCCGTCTCAGACCCCTGAGTCTAGCTGCCTTGAGTCCAAACTTGAGTCAATCATTCAAATCAATTCCATTTGGGGAAGTGGTGTGAGCGAGGCCAGTATCATTTGAAAGACAGGGGCGGGTACCAGATACTAAGGTTCTCTGAGCCCTGAAAGCACACGTTAGTGCTTTCACTAGGAATGCATGATGGGACAAAGCCAGCTCCAGCCAACATGGCACTCCCTCCACGAAGCTTTCCTTGGATCTCCTACAGTTATTCTGAAATATAATTATTCCCTTTCCTTATGTTTGGGTGGAAACTTCACTTCAGGCCCCGGCTTCCATATACCCAAAGAGTCTGGGATGTTCTGGTGGAAGTTCTACTCCCAAGCTCCCTCCCTCATCTCTCTCCAAAAACTGTTGCATCTCAGAAAGCCCGCCAAGGATGACCCCCTCCCCCAGAGATGCTCAAGACCACTCCCACAGGGTATTTAAACTGCCCCCCCCCTCAGAAAACAGGCATAGTTCGGTCTCTCTCCAGTCTCTTGGTGAGGAGGGAGGCTGTAAAATCATCCAGGAGAATTGTATCCATTAAACCTGGGCTTTTTTTATTTGGTTTGATTTGGTCTGATTTGAATTGCTGCCTCAGAGGAGAGGTTTATGGGGTGCAGGAACTTTTCAGTTTCTCTTTTCCTCTTCTTTGCTGTGTCTCCCACCCCGCTCTCATCGCTCCCCTCCAAGAGAAATGCAGCCTTTTAAGAAGAAGAACTCCTGGATCTGATACCTAGGCTCAAAAGAAAACAAATCTTTAAAAAATGTTTCCTCAGTGCATGCCTTGAATACCAGCACTCAGAAGGCAGATATAGACGGATCTTTGTGAGTTCGAGGCCAGCCTGGTGTATGAGAGTTAGTCCCAGGACAGCCAAGGCTGTTACACAGAGTAACCCTGTTTCAAAAAAACAAAATAATCATCATCATAATAGTAATTATTATTATTATTCCTGGGGCTTCTTCCTTGTATGGTCTTTTTTTTTTTATGCTTCCAGCATCCTTTCTGTTCTTTAAACACAGCTCTCTCCAAGGTGCCTGCATCCTCAGAGGTCCGCAGTGGCTGACTCAGGACTTTCAGAAGAACTTCAGAGACAAGTCTCTAAATGGAACCTTTAGCCCAGATTTCTCATCTGAATTTCAGACCTGGCAAATACTACACAGATGTCACTTGTTACACCCACAATTTGACTAAGTGTCATTTCCCCAAGAGTTATCTTACAACTCCCCATACTAAGGAGAGAAAGTTCTTCCCCTGCTCTGAAAGACAATACCTTGGGACCCAAACATATTTTACCCAGTGGCTCTTTGCCTCACTGACCTCTTTGTGTCCTTCCATGGGGGACCTAAGACAGGACTGAGCAGAGGAGATATTCCTCCCTCATCTGAAGTCTGCAGAATGTCCTGCAGGAAGTCCTGCAGGAAGTCCTGCCCACATGTCCTTAGTCCTCTTCCTCCCTATATTCACTCACCACCCTCAGATCAGGTGGGATTTAGATAGTTGTAGTATCTCCCTCAAGACCCTGGCCTTGTATGTCTCCTACACCTGTGCTCCAGAACTCACGGGAACTACGTCCCAGTGGTGACGGACAGGAGAGAGGCATTGAGACCCTCTTCGCTTAATCTCTGGGTCTGAGATTGTCCATGTTGGCTGTCCCCGATGGATACTGCCCTGGGCAGTCCTGTGGGGAACTGGTCCTGAGTTGGCCGCAGTATCTTTGAGGGACTCACCCTTACTTACTTCTCTTTCATCAGGGGCAAGGTACATCAATTCTGTTAGCGCCCCAGGTACTAAGGGAAATAGTGTTTCTCCTGAGACTCAGAACACAGAATGAGAGTCAACTATGTGACGACGGTCACCTTTTCATGCCACACCTGGAGTCTTAACCGGCTCTGCTACCACCCAGAGCTCACTTTCCTACCCATGTGGTATTTTCCATGGCCTCAATGTCTGTTTATACCTATTAATAATGTCTTACTTGCATTTCCTGTGAGCTGTCCCAAATCCTCCCAGGAACAAGGTGGGGAATACATTAATATTTAAAATAAAATAGACAAAACATCAGAGTGTGTGTGTGTGTGTGTGTGTCTCAGTTGGGAAATTCCTTAAAGTCAGAGACCATGTCTGTTTATATAGCACCTGGCACCTGGCACAGTGTCAAATTAAGGCTTAACAAATGAATTTAAATGAAAAGAGGGACGGAGCAGCAGAGACTGTCTCAGGCTTCCTCGTGCCGACCACACAGCCTCATCCTGCTTCTGACCATCCAGGTCTGGCCTGTCAACCCCACCTGTCCCCATACGTGCCATAGCCTACCTAATCCTCCTACATGCTGAACTCACAAATGCTACCTTCCACTCTCAGGCAAGGCCACACCCTCACCTGGCTGAGTGCTTCACCCACAGACAGCCCACCTAGCCTCTCC